CGCTATTTGAGTTTTTAGCATCTAATTTTACCCATATAGCTTCCGTAGTTTTACTTATAGCTCTCTTGCCTGCAAGTTTTCCTTTACATATACTGTACTGCAACACCACCTCCCTTCTTACCTATACGGTCTTTACGGAACAACGTGTAACGTGCATTTATCATCAGCAAATTGCAGAAGTTTAACATTAACACAATTAAGCAGATGTTTTTCTCCAAAGTGATTAGGCAAGTAGAACATTGCAAACATACATGGTGTCAAGGAGTCAACTCGGCAAAAGTGCAGCTAGGCTAATCTTACAGTGAATGCCTAGCTACAAATGTAAGCAGCATTGGAGCAAGCAGGATACTAATAAGACTACCAAGAACCTGAAGTGCAACATAAGAACATTCAGTGACTGTAAAGAGGCATCAGACTATGGCCCTGTTCTCACCTGGTATTAACATGCTTCCTGGGTGATTTGATTACAAGTGGATAGCGCCAAATACAGGTGTGAACGCACCCAAAACGGATTGAGAATGTATTGAGATTGGATCGCTCAAACCACATTCGGAGGTTATGAATAACATATGAATAACAAAATTAATCTTTTTTTCTACAACACCAAAAAATATGTTTTAATCTGCTGGAAAGTTGGTTTAATATTAAAAATCAATATTATATTATATTATATTATATTATATTATATTAACCCTTTCAGGCTCAAATTAAGTTTTAGTAACGGCAGGACAACCAAGTCCTGCAGTGGTACTTCTGAGTAAAAAAAACTCATAAAATATGTATGTGGGGTAATAAGGTAGTTAGTTTTTAACTGTTGCAAATCAGCAACGCCTGCCTTGAGAGGGTTAATACAGACGCTTCTCTACTTATGAACGAGATACGTTCCAAATGGCTGTTTGCAACTTGAAATGTTTGGAAGTCGTTATTCAACATCATTTTAATGGTACTGTATATGCACGTACTATGAACTAGGATGCTGGGAGTACGCATTCTACGCTGCTGTGTGGCGGGAGTAGTGGCCAGAAGTCATATTAGGCAGAATTAGCACACAGAAAAAAAAAATGATGTTGCTGACAGGAAACGGGAGCCCAGCGAACAAATTTTGGAGTTACAGTTCTCTTTGTTCGTATGTCTGAAAGTGCATAACTTGAAAGTTCGTAAGTAGTGGAGCGTCTGTCATATTAATATAATATATTCGCATGGAAACATTGTCAAAAGTGTGCATCATTAATATTCTGTGCAAATTTGGGTAAAATAAATTGTGTAATTAATTGTGTAAGAAGTGATTTATTAAAGATATTTTAGAATTTACACATATCATATTTGATGCGAACTTTGATGACGTGCCCCTTATTTATGTCAAAGCTGTTCCACGCTTTATTAATATTGGTGAACCGTGCTGGTAAAAATTAAATGAATGTAAGAAGAAAACATGTAGGTAAAAATGTGTGTTCAATTGCCTAGATAATGGATATGTTAATAGAAACATATAACCACAGTGAGATTGCTTATATAGTTTTACACTGAGCTGTCCGGGGGGTTGTACTCCTGGTCAGAAATTCGGTCTTGATTGCTTTGCTTCTTTTACTTCACTTGCTCCAAGTCAGACATATTATTCAGCATATCAGACAAAATAATGAACCACTTTGTTGAAATCTTCACAAATTTTGAACTTCATTGGTTATGATTAAAAGCTGAAATATGCCTGTTCGCACAACAAAAGACCTGCGAAAATCTCAGCAGGGGTGAAAAACATCTCGGGACTTTCACCAGAAAATAAAAACTCAGTAAATCTAGTGATAGAACTACCTATATTATATACAAGGATGTACAAAATATATATCTGCTATATACATATATTGCACTATAGAATAACATTGAACAGGGTTTTTACAATGGGATGACATGGAAGTCGAAGTATGGAGTGCATTTGTTTCTACCAAACAAATATTTTTAAAAAACAATGTCTACCAGTTAAAAAATATCTTTATTTCGATCTGTTTATATAGTGTTTTATTTGGTCTCACCCATTTTTCTTTCTTAATGGATGCAGGGTTCAAGGGTTCCAGGGGACCCCCGGGGCCTCCAGGGCCAGGGCTTAAAGGTGACAAAGGTGACACTGGGGAAACAGGTACAGCTGGGCAACCTGGGGAGAAAGGAGACCATGGGGTCACAGGCAAACGTGTAAGTCCTATTAGAAACATGCTTAAAGTGACAAACATCATTATACATATAGCAGACATGCAAGAAATCTTAACCATAGAGTATAAACATGCACACAGTACATTGATCTTCATTTTCATTTTGTTATATTTTTTTCATTACCGGTTGTTGAAACTGTAGGGAGAAGATGGCTTGCCTGGTAATCAGGGACTCATTGGTGACACTGGGCCTCCTGGAGATAAGGGAGATATTGGTAATTAAATAATCTTCCAAATTTTGATTTATTGCATGACTGTGATCTCTAACAGTTATTTGATCTTATAAAATGACTGCATACTGCCCTTTTTAGGTACAAACGGGAATCCAGGCTGTCCAGGACCCAAGGGTAACTCTGGATCAAAAGGCCCTCAGGGAAAACCAGGTAGAGGATGCTGTGTAGTACTTGCGTTAAAAACTTTGCCTTGACCACTGGTCGTTATATCCCAGAAATTCTGCAAATTATAACAGAACTTGGAGTGTGGTTGAGAGGTGCTATGCTCTCAGACTTAATGTCTGTATGTTTGTTGGCTGCCTGTCTTTGCTAATAGGTAATGTGCAGGGATGCACGTAACTGGCACAAAAGTATGCATTTACCTTTAAAAGCGGCAATCGATTGTTGTAACAGAGCAAATGCAAACTTATTTTATGTGCAGTTGCGGTTCTATGACAAGAAATTACAGTGCATTTTAACCTTTATACCACAAATGAAGTACGAATTAGAATATTAAAGCACCGGGCAGACCGAGGCATCACAGGAGCAGAGAAGGACAAGGACACTTGCTTGCCAGGGAAAACACGCTCTTTAATAGCAGTCCTTAACAGGACTATAACAGGCACCCAACGAGCACCAAACCAAATACAAAGAAAGGAAATACAAGGTTGTCAGATGCCGTACTGTAAGGTGCACACACGGTGGGAGATTTACACAAGCTAAATTCATGTGAGGATCAGACAGGGCACACACAAGATACAGGCGAACACATACGCAAAAATAGGGAAGTGCAACCATTAACAGTAGCTGTGCAACAAGGGCTATTCACAGTTACAGACAGGGGCTATTTACAATTGCATGCGGGGCTAGAATATAAAGGTTAAAATGCACAATAATTTCTTGTCATATCAGCAGAAATGCACAAAAAATAAGTACTCTTTTTATGGTCTTACAACAAACAACTGCCGCACATATCACTTTTGAAGGTGAATGTGTACCAATTATTTGCATCCCTGCTTCCTGCTATAGGTCCATGTGTTATGATAAATGATCCAACGCTCATCAGTGGGGAGCAAGGTCCAAGAGGAGCTCCAGGGATCCAAGGAGGGCAGGGACCTCCAGGGAAAAAGGGAACTCCGGGAAAATGTGGTAAAGCAGGGCTTTGCATGTAATGCACACATGCCAGACAAAAAAAACAATGCACACTTTAGCACAGTATCCTAAAATATTTGATGTACTACACATAAGACACACATTATTTTATGCATTTTTGTTAGTACATGATAAATACAGTATAGGAAGTAAAATTAAAAAAATTATGGTAACACTATCTTAAAGCAGGCCTTATCTGTTATTTTGTGGTTGTTGCTTTTTCTGTTTTCCCCAGTGTGTATTACTTCGTATTTGTTTCTGTCATCAGTTTGCATTGTAGTACTAGTGTCTGGTTTAGGTCTCCTAGTTTTGATGTTTAGTTCTGTTAATCAGCCCCACCTGTTGCTCGTTGTCCTGTCCTTTCTTTGGTTATTTGGGTATTGTTCTCACCTGTCCTGCATTGGCTCGTTAGCCTTGTGTGTATTTAATGGTGCGTCCGATTATCTGCCCGAAGTCATAAATTCCGAGGTGTGTGATGTCACGTCCGACTAATCTCCTGTTCAAGCTACACATCTCCGAACAAACATGGCTCCCTCCATGAACACACTGTTGTGTGTTGTTGCTTTATATTTTAGCAGATTTGGAGTGAGATTCTTTTTCCCTAGAGAAAAACAAACAAGAAACACAAACTAGTCAAACCACATTAAAATCTTTATAATATTTTAGTAGATCCATAGCAATATTCTTTTTTCGAGAGGCAAACAAACTACAAACAAACAAAACACACTAACAAGTCTGGTAAAAATCTCATATTGCATGCTAGGTTACTATTTACGATCAAGATATGGAATTCTCTAAATCGACCACGTACAATTACATTTGTAACTATTATACATTTAACAAAATAAACATTTTAAATATTTGTAAAATAGAATTACTGTTGACTGTGTAAGCCGCCATGTTGAAATGACTTCACGGGGGAATCTCAGACAACAAAATTCTGTCTGACCTCAACGTTGGAAAGGAATTGTGTTTATGACAGGAAGTGACGTTTTTCACGATGTTTTTATCCGAGTTCCAACTTGGAAAGTACAGTACCTGCTTCTGCTATGTTTGGCAGTCAGTCATTGTATGTTGATCAGTGAAGGTTGCGCTGCCCAAATGCTTTGTCATGCGCCAATCTTGTATTATTCTATGGTGTCTTTAAGTTAGTTCTTGTTTTCCATATTTGCCTTTTGACCATTTGAGATCCCTTTTATTTTGTGTTTACCCCAGTGTGTTCTGTTTCCCCAATAAACCCTTTTTGTCTTGGAGCTGCTAGTGGATCAGCACCCTCATTTCTGCCTGGATTGGTATTTCACCAATGGTGTATTCCAGCCTTGTGCCCTTTGCTGTCTAGGATAGGTTCTAGGCCACCCTGTAATCATAACCAGAATTAGTAGTTAGAAGATGGATATATGGGTGTATTGCTTTATGCTGTATTTCTAATTCAACTCATGCTGTCATTGTATATTTTCCTTTATGGGACAGTTACCTCTCAATTGTGAAAATCTACATAATATAAGAAATCCCTGTCCTTTGTTTTAGGACCTACTGGCCAGAAAGGGATAACTGGAAAGGCTGGATTTCCAGGACCACAAGGAGTGTTAGGTCAGAAAGGAGAGACAGGTTTGCCAGGGCCACAAGGTACTGTTTAGACCCACATCGATACCAACTTCCAATGTTAAATTTCATGTGAACAATATCACACAAAAAAACATAGGATCTAATCTTATCTTGACAACGTGTCATCGATCTACTGATTATGCTTAGAAATGTTGTTGGTGAAAAAAGCATGAAAAAAGACAGCTTGTACAGTAAATGGATGTCTTCTCAGATTCTGTTCTATCTGTATCTCATTAGGATTGCAGGGGCCTCGAGGGCCCCCAGGCAAGAAGGGTATCCGTGGTCCCCCTGGTGCTTTTGTCCCAAGAATTTCCAAAAACAGCTTTATTTTCGCTCGACACAGCCAGACAGCTACTGAGCCCAGCTGTCCAGAGGACAGTAATCAGATGTGGTCTGGATTCTCCCTCATCTTCGTCAATGGGAACAACATGGGGCATGGCCAAGATCTGGGTGAGAATCTACCAACATCTCACTATGATGGCCGATTATCAACGAGCTACAAATTCTTAAAACACCTTAATCAAATGATAACACGTGCTCTACATATCCATCCATCCATCACTTACCGCTTGTCCAGGGTTCAGGTCGCAGGGGTAGCATCTTCAGGAGAGATACCCAGACCTCACTCTCCCCAGCTACCTCTACCAGCTCCTCGGGGAGGACGCTGAGGCGTTCCCAGGCCAGCCGAGAGATATAATCCCTCCAGCGTGTCCTGGGTCTGCCCCGGGGCCTCCTCCATATAGGACATGCACGGAGAACCTCTCCGAGTAGCCGCCCAGGAGGCATCCACACCAGATGTCCAAACCACCTCAACTGGCTCCATTCGACGTGGAGAAGCAGCGGTTCTACTATGAGACCCTCCCGGATATCTGAACTTCTCACCCTATAATTTCGGCGACCTGTATTCGCGATCTCATTCTTTCGGTCATTACCCATAGCTCATGACCATAGGTGAGGGTAGGGACAAAGATGGACCAATAGATCGAGAGCTTTGCCTTCTGGCTCAGTTCTTTCTTAGCCATGAGGAACCGGTTAAGCGCCTACAAAACGCCGCTTCGTCTGTCCAGCTCCCGATCTCGCCTACCCTCACTTGTGAACAAGACCCCGAGATACTTGAACTCCTCCACTTGAGGCAGTACCTCTTCCTTGACCTGAAGAGGACAATCCACCTGTTTCTGGCTGAGAACCATGATCTTGGACTTGGAGGTGCTAATCCTCATCCCCGCCGCTTCGCACTCGGCCGCGAACCGCCCCAGAGCACATTGGAGATCCCCAGCAGATGAAGCAGATGACATCGTCCGCAAAAAGCAGCGAGGCAATCCTGAGGCCACCAAACTGGACACCCTCAACACCCTGGCTGCGCCTACAAATCCTGTCCATAAATATTATAAACAGGACCGATGACAAAGGGCAGCCCTGGCGGAGCCTAACCCGCACTGGGAACACGTCTGACTTATTACCGGCAATGCGGACCAAGCTTCTGTTCCGTTCATACAGGGACCGAATCGCCCACAACAGTGGACCCCGGACCCCATACTCCCGAAGCACCCCGCACAGAGGACCTCAGGGAACCCAGTCATAAGCCATCTCTAAATCCACAAAACACATGTAGACTGGATAAGCAAACTCCCAGGCCCCCTCCAGTACCCTTGCAAGGGTATAAAGCTAGTCCAGTGTTCCACGGCCAGGACAAAAACCGCATTGTTCCTCCTGAAACTATCGATCTCACCCTCCTCTCCAGTACCCCAGAATAGACTTTCCCAGGGAGGCTGAGAAGTGTGATCCCCCTGTAGTTGGAACACACCCTCCGGTCCCCTTTCTTAAATAAGGGGACCACCACCCTGGTCTGCCAATCCAACGGCACCTTCCCTGACCTCCACACGCTGTTGAAAAGGCATGTCAGCTACGACAGCCCCACAACATCCAGAGCCTTCAGGTACTCAGGGTGGATCTCATCCAGCCCCGCGGCCCGGCCATCACGTAGCTCTTTAACCACCCTGGCCACCTCAGCCCCAGTGATGGGCAAGCCCCCCCCAGCACCCTCGGGCTCTGTGCCCTTAGATGTCTCAAAGGCAGTGTGCGTAGATGTATCTGAGGCAGGGTTGAGGAGGTCCTCAAAGTATTCCTTCCACCTCCGGGTGATGTCCCCAGGTGAGGTCAACAGCACCCCCTCCCCACTATAAATAGTAGGAACCAGGAGCTGCTTCCCCCTTCTGATATTCTGGATGGTTTGCCAGAACCTTTTTGAGGCAGACCGAAAGTCACTTTCCATGGCCTCACTGAACTCCTCCCACACCCGGGTTTTTGCTTCTTCGACCACCCGAGCCGCGTTCTGCCTGGCCTGCCGGTATCCGTCAGCTGCCTCCGGAGACCCTGGGCTAATAATTCCCGGTAAGCCTCCTTCTTCAGCTTGACAGCCCCCCTCACCTCTGGTGTCCACCATCGGGTACAGAGGTTACTGCCACGACTGGCACTGACCACCCTGCAGCCACAACTCTGTACGGCCACTTCCACAATGGAGGTCCGGAACAGTGTCCATTCAGACTCAATGTCCCCAACTTCCCCCAATATGCAGTTGGAATTCTGCCAGAAGTGCGAGTTAAAGCTCCGGCGAACAGGAGCCTCTGCCTGACCTTCCCAGCAGACCCTCACTATACGCTTGGGCCTACCAGGTCTGACCGGCTTCCTCCCCTGCCACCTGAGCCAACCCACTACCAGGTGGTGATCATTTGACAGCTCTGCCCCTCTCTTTACCCGAGTGTCCAAGACAGAAGGCCGCAGGTCAGATGATACGATTATAAAATCGAAATTGAGCTGTAGCCCCAGGTGTGTTCATACCATGTACACTTGTGGACACCCTTATGCTCGAACATGGTGTTCCTTATGGACAAACCATGCATTGCACAGAAGTCCAATAACAGAACACCACTCGGGTTCAGATCAGGGAGGCCCTTCCTCCCAATCCCCCCCCCCTCCAGGTCACACTGTCATTGCCCACGTGAGCGTTGAAGTCCAAAAGAACCCTATGATAAGGTATTATAACAAAGTCTCGTTGAACCCTCAAAGTTTTTGAACCCTCCAGACATGGTCACTGTTTTTGTAAAAAAACATTAAAATAAATTTATTACACATACATCCAAATCCCAATTTGTAAAGCACACCTTCCAAATAATGGACACACACACAAAAAGAGATATATTTTCATTATTTAATTCAACAAAGGTGGTTTATTTCAGAAAAACTGAAAATTTAACATGTGCAAAAGTATGTGAAGTACTTGTACTTGGAGTAGCTTGTGGCTCCTCCTTTTGCAGCCATTACTTCAACTAAACGTCTTTGGTAACCACTAACCAGTTTCTCACATCTGCTTATGGGGATTTTTGCCCACTCCTCCTTGCAGAACTCAGCCAGTTGAGAGAGGTTGGAGGGACACCTGGCATGTACCAACTTCTTCAGGTCTCGCCACAACATTTCAATTGGGTTAAGGTCCGGACTTTGACTAAGCCAATCCAGAGTGCGAATCCTCTTTCTCTGAAGCCATTCCATTGTAGTTTTGCTGGAATGCTTTGGGTCATTGTATTGTTGCATAATCCATTTTTGTCCCAGCTTCAACTCCCTGACTGATGGCAGGAGATTCTGGTCAAGAATTTGTTGATATGCCGAAGAATTCATGGTTCCTTGAATAATATGGAGTCGTCCAGGTCCAGAAGCAGAAAAGCAGCCCCAGACCTTCACATTTCCACCACCATACTTCACTGTTGGGAGGAGGTTCTTTTCTTCATATGCCGTGTTGGCTTTTCTCCAAACATGTTGGTTTTTATTGTGACCAAATAATTCTATTTTGGACTCGTCTGTCCAGAGAATGGACTTCCAGAAGGCCTCTGGTTTGTCCAAGTGCTCTCTGGCAAAGTTGAAACGAGCAGCTTTGTTCTTTTTTGAGAGCAGAGGCTTCCTTCTAGCAACCCTCCCATGAATGTCATGGCTATTCAATTTTTGTCTGATTGTAGATGCATGCATGATATTTTTGATGGGCGTCCACTTCTAGGCAAAGTTGCTGTCATGTTGAAGGCCCTCCATTTGTAAATTATCTGTCTTACAGTGGATTGATGGAGCTGGAATCTTTTGGAGATGGTCTTATAGCCCTCCCCAGACTGATGGGCTGTCACTACCCTCTTCTTCATGTCCTCGGATATCTCCTTTGCTCTTGGCATTGTTGATTTGTATGGGACCACAGTGGTTTGGTTGGTTTCCTCTCTCTTTTAATTAGTGCAGACTAAACCCTTTCCCAATGATGTCTCATTTCATTGGTCTGCTTAAATGATTAATTAAGCACCCAAAGTCTGAGTCTGTTACCTGCTTGACTTAACCAGTGCAGTGGTTCACTTACTTTTGCACACACACTAATTCCATGTTTCATGTAGTTTTTGGGCTACTTAAACAAGTCCCGCTAAACAAGTACACGCAATTGATAAACATATATCTGACATTTCATACATAAAACTGGTGATGATGAAATAATAAAATCACGGTAAAACAACAGAAACATCTAAACTGCTCAAGGGGTTCACATACTTTCAGGCAGCATTGTATATTTACAGGTGATAAGCTGATTAAGGTGTTGTGATGACTCGATTACTGCATTTTCAAGATCAGCTCCACAATCGGGTCATTAAAAAAACATGTAAACACCGTAATTGGGTTATCGTATGTAAACATAGTTACAGTCAGCTAACGGAAAAACATAGATCTTACCTTTGGAAACAGAATGTCTCCCCCATATGGTGTGTAGGATTGGGCAGTATGGCTCAAAATCAGTATCTCTGTATTTTTAAACAGAATAGCCATACAGGCAGAGATAGCAATTTCTACTCTTCAAAACAGTTTTGATACATTTAAAACAACCCACCCCTAATGGTAGTGCTGAGTGAGTGATGCCTTGTGATGCTTTGGGGTTTCCTCAAGAAGCTGCTCAATGCAGACCATAACCTCAAGGACAGAACAATACAGAAGGGGGATTCCTCTGTCCACTATGCTAAATCCTGATTTGTCTTAGGTTACACAGGGATATAATCTATTTTCTATATCTGTTGGAGAAATAATTCAATCTTAGATTGTTTAATTGTGTGTCTGTTTTTATGGGAAGAACGAACAAGAAACAAGATGCAATAACATTCTGTCCTAACAAATGTCTTAGCTATTCAAGCTGTTTATTTCTTCTATTTATATGTCAGTTTTATAAAATAGGACACGCTCCAATATCCTTAGATATGAAGGTAGTTTTGTTTAGAAAAAGATAACTCCACATATCTGCAGATAGTTTAAAGTTGACTGTCTAAATTCCCATCACAGATTTCAACATGTCCAGTTCCATTATCTTATAGATCCAAGTCCTTATCTTATTCCTCAGACCCAAGTCCCTAATTTTCACCTGTATTGTCTCCTCAGGTGCACTTGGAAGCTGCCTCCCCCAGTTCTCCACTATGCCCTTTCTATTTTGCAGCCCTAACAGCATTTGTCACTATGCTTCTCGCAACGACTTCTCCTATTGGCTGTCCACAGATGAAGCAATGCCTGACAATATGATGCTCATCTCTGCGCATCTTCTAAGGCCATACATAAGCAGGTAAACCACTGTTGTCTTTGTTTATCGAGATTTCAGTGACATCTCTTGGGTACTAGTTTGTATTACAGATAAATGAAAATTTATTAAAAATGTATTTGTATTACATGGTTTTTAGTTTCCTGTTGATTTACTTTGTATTTTGCTAGAGAAAAGCAAATACACAATCAGGGTACCTCAATAAGTTACAAAATTTCTTCAACTAACCTGTAAAAGTTAAGATTTATTTAATTCACAAGTACTATGAAAACAATCACTTTTAAGGAAAATCCATTTTTCTTCCAGTATCCTCTATATCAGGGGTCCCCAAACTTTTTTCTGCGAGGGCCACATAATTTTTTCCTACTTTAATGGGGGACCGGGTTGGTTTATAGCAGAAAATTACACGAGTGACTACTAGTATTATTGTGGAGATTTTATTATGATTTTAATAATAGTGAATGATTTTATTTCCATTAACTCTGCATAGGCACTGCATCATATTTATCGCTTTCTATGGCGACTGCTCACATTTTTTCATTTTTCATTATATCTACTAATAAACTGTAAAAAGGATTTGATTGTTGCTACTTTTCTTGCGTTTCAAACTGCCTTTCCAAAGTGATGGGTGTGGGGTGGAGTGACATTCCAGACTGATGGGCCATTGACAGTATGCAAACTACTACAGGTGTGGGGACACCTATTTCATCAATATTCATTGTGCAGGCCACTGACTTTGAGAAAAAGAGTGTCACTCCAAAGTGCTAACACTTTAGTAATCAAACCACATAAAATTTCAGAATGTCTCTTTCACCTATGTGTAGCCAAACCCTGTGTCTATAAGCTTCAGACCTCAAAAGTCTTGGCTAGAAATGTTTATAATGTGATTTTTTACAGTTTCTCAGCATGTCTGAAATTTTTGAAAAGTATATGTTTAAAGTTGATTTTAACAAAAAATAGAATAATAACATTCTAAGTGGTCTCAGATTACTGAATAAAAGCACATGTAACACTCTGGGATAAATGTTTTTCAGATAGGTGAAATATTTGAAAATGTCAAGGCATGTCAGACTACCCCAAAGGTGGCTGAGAGGCCTCAGACTCCAGAAGGTTAACCCTCTGGGGATGAGGGCATCGTCGACCACATATCTTTCTCGTTTATTTCAGTTTATATCTCGCTGAAATCATTATGTAGAATCATGAAAAAACACTGACTAAATCTTTTCAAAACTTCCATTGTCGGAAGTATTAAAGTTTTTAAAATTAGGTTAAATAGGCAAAAATGTAAACCATGTCACCTTTCTTTGTTTGACCTGCATCGGGGGCGTGTAGTATTCACGTTCTAAATAGCAGCATTACCACGTATTCAAACGCGGGTTTGAATCGACGACCTTGTGATTATAGACACACAGGCTTAGCCCACTTACCCAGCAACACAGACCGGAGATTCGCAGCTGACTGGCAATACTGGCGCAAAGCTTCAGCGGCAGAAACGTATCCGTGTGCCATATTGTACCCAATCAGTGTAAACACTACCCACTGGTACCCAGACATGTGCTCTTGTTTATTTAAGTCACAATGGGCATATTCATATATTTCTTTACCCAATACCAACTGTTGGATTTTCATGTTATTATCATGCGAATATGGCAATTTGCAAATGGGCAGGCGATCAGAGTTGCTTCGAGACGCAGACGCTTAAGTCAGTCACTCTTGTTCTTTCTATTCATATCACGAAGCTGTAAAAATATATTTAGTTTCTACCTATATATATTTGAAAAGTAGACCATCCAAGGTTTCTGAGGTTGCTTTTTAAATGTGTATATGACAACAACTCGCAGAGTTATTTAAACGGTTTGGCGAATTTTTTGTCAGATCCCTCCAGAGTATTTATTATGCCTCCTAATGCTAGAAAAGTTTATTATTTTGTTATGCACCATACAGACAAATGGTCATTACTTTTCAGTGCTATTCAAAATCAAATAATTAACTTATGCATATTAATTAGTGTGAACTGTGGGCTTGCTTCTGGCTGGTGAGATGTCCAATGTCAGGTTCCAGTCCTGTCACAGCCAGCCTCAAAGACTGATGCAGATGTCAGTGAGTCTTGATCTCATCGGAGTTTTCATCAGTTTCATGCATGAAAAGATTTGCTCACAGATATATGTGCTGCCAAAAAGTGTGGACATCTTCATTGCATGCCTTTTGATGTTTGGGTATGTCTCGTTAGGGAGGGCAGCATAGAATTCAATGAGACCGTTGGGCTGAAATGCGTCTCTCAGAACATCACAGTTCTGTAACTCAGCCAACTCAAACTGATAAGAAGGCAAGGCTTCATCAATGTCGGCAGCGAAGGGGTTCTGGAAAAGGCGGATTTCTTTAGCGTTGACATGTAGCTCATGGAATCGCACGTCAAACTCCGCCTTCAGCATTTCCAGCGCTTCCACGGATTTTTCAGATGGGAATGGGGTCGCTGGTTTCTCAGCTGAGAGACTTTGGGTAACAGGGAGATGAGTGAAGTCTTGCTTTTGCACTTGTCCTGCAAGCAGTGCTAGTTTCACCTCAAATGCTTTTATATGTGAATACATGTCACATATTAGTTTCCCCTTGCCTTGGAGCTGCAAGTTGAGGCCGTTCAACATTTCTGTCACATCTGTTAAAAAGGTAAAAAGTCCCATTTCCATTCTGCGTCGATCAGTTCTGGGACAGTTTTGCCCCCTCACACACTTCAAAGCTTGAGCTAACTCCGCGAAGAAAAATTAGCAGCTGTGCCGTGTCCTGCACGTCATTGCTCTCATCCAATGCTAATGCAAAAATTCAAATTCTTTAACTTTCTCCTGCAGCCGGGCATATACATTATCCCCCTTTTCTTCAATTCGTCTGGTGATTGTTCTTGCGTACAGACTCACCGCATTTAAGATGTCTTTTTTATCGGGGCACACCTCCTCCACAACAGCATTCATACATTTCTTGACGAACTCACCGTCACTGAATGCTCTACCGCTGCTTGCAATCAGTTTAGCTACCTTAAAGCTAGCTCGAACGGATGACTGGTTCAACTGGGTTTGGCATAAAAACATAATCTGCTGAGCTGATAGTACAATTTTTAGCTTCGACACTTTGTCTGCTCTCAGTTGGTCTTGCAAGCTTGCATACTTTTCTCTATGGCGGGTTTCATAGGTTCGGCGCGGATTGTATTCTTTGAACACAGATAGCCTACTGTTTCTTGACAGATGAGACAAACTGCCACTTTGCACTGAACAAAAAAATAGTCACTTGTCTACTTTTCATTAAATACCCTGCATTCTGAATCAACAGAACACACTTCCCAACCGTTTTGCCATTTTGTCTTCTCTTTGAGCTCGCGCATCACCTGTTTGTTCACAAAGGCACGTTACGTCGAACGTACCATTCTGTTGGTATGTGATTTTTAAAATTAATTAGGCTACGTTAATAACTAAGGGAAATTTTAGTTTGAAAGCCAACCTTT